AGTACCTTAAATAATAATAAATACTTTAAGAAGTTTATAACTCTTAAGGTATTTATTATTATATAAGTGCCTTAAATACACTAATATATTAAGGTATAATTAAAAGAGCTAAATAAACTCTTATAAAGTTAGCTTATACTTATATAATTAAATTTAAATTATTAGAGGCTTTATAGCTTTATACGATTTAATATATAGTAAAAATCATTAATTTACTTCTAATAAATAGTAATTTAAATAATAAGTTATTAACTTAAGCCTTATATAATAAGCTTAGTCTTAATATAAAAGCTATAATTTATAACCTTTAAATATAAGGATATATTACCTACGTATAAATCCTAAATAATAAGAGAGTTATTATAGCTAAAATAATATTAAGAGCTATTAAAGGCTATCTTATTAATATTAAAGAAGCGATTAGCTAAAGCGATTAATTGTATTTATAATATTTAATTATTAAAAGAGAAACGCATTATACGTGCTTATAATATACACTTCTTTAAAGAATAAAGTAAAGAATCTAAAAATAATATATTAGAATAATTTAAGTATAAAGCTAAACTTATTAATTTTAAACTAATTAGTAAAGAAAGACGTATTTATATTATAAGTGTAAATTAAGTTAATAAGATAATTAATACTATAAAAAATAATAATAAAAGCTAAGTTAACACTATATTATTTATTAATATAGGTGATAATAATAAAAATAATAATAATAATAATTGTCTTAAGTAGCTAATATTTTTTACGTTATCTTTAATATTAAGCGAAATAAATAAACGCTTCTTTAACGTAAATAAAGACTTTAATCTCTCTTCTTTTGCGTTAAAGGCTTAAATTATTATAAAATAAGAGGAATTTATAGTTTATTACTCTTTACGCTTAAGTACTTAACGCGATTATCTTTCTCTTTAAATTAATAAAAAGAAATAAGCTTATTTTAATAGCTTTAAAGATACACGTTTTTTTAATTTAATAATTAGGTATATTAATAATAATATTTATAATCAT